AATAACATTGGACATAGAACTCCGTTTCTGGGATATTTGTTCCATTAGATACGCGTCAATTATATTGCAGAGATTGCACCACTATGCAGCTGTCGTGGCTGCATTCTGCGTAGACGGAGCGCGCCCCTGCAGCGCTAAATGTCTGAGACCGTGAGCGTAACGACGATGTGGTTACTACGCCACTGTTAATGCAGTTACTACGTCATTGTTAATGTAGTTACTACGTCACTGGTAATGTAGTCACTACGTCATTGATAATGTAGTCACTACGTCATTGATAATGTAGTCACTACGTCACTGTTAATGTAGTCACTATGTCACTGATAATGTAGTTACTACGCCACTGATAATGTAGTCACTACACCACTGATAATGTAGTTACTACGCCATTGATAATGTAGTTACTACACCACTGATAATGTAGTTACTACACCACTGATAATGTAGTTACTACACCACTGATAATGTAGTTACTACACCACTGATAATGTAGTCACTACACCACTGATAATGTAGTCACTACGCCACTGATAATGTAGTTACTACGCCACTGATAATGTAGTCACTACACCACTGATAATGTAGTTACTACACTACTGATAATGTAGTCACTACGCCACTGATAATGTAGTCACTACACCACTGATAATGTAGTTACTACGCCATTGATAATGTAGTTACTACACCACTGATAATGCAGTTTATTACGCCACTGAATATTAAGGACGGTCCTGTAACCGATTGCAGCCCGCAAGCTCTGCCAATCCGCTCCCTTGCAAGGATCACAATGCTCACTCTTATCACCATTAAAGTCACCATTAATCATCACCAAAAAAATCATAATCTGCATCACCATTAATCGTCAAAAGAATCAGAAGTATTTTCCGAGCAAATGTTAATTGAGCTAAGAATATCGGCCAGCAGACAACATTAAATTATTTCACAATTACAGATAAAAAAAAGAATGCAATTATGTTGTAAAATTACATTCACATTTCAACTTTAGTGATTTTAATAATGGCGTCAGTTTAAATGAGGGACTGAGATGGCAGAATTGAGATGCCAAGAGATGCGAAACTTCGGTAGTTACCGACACCTTTGGTGCAGCGTTGAATGCTTTTCATCGATAATTGTGTGCAAAATCTGGGAATTATTAATCGACAATCAGACGCGCGTCGCAGATTTTATTATTTTGCTGCTAACCCAGACGGTTTACCCGTATTCTTGTACAGGGAAATTGAGTTTTCAGTTCCATACAGCCGTTTCAATACGGGCAACTACAAAAATGTGTTTATCTATCTGTTTGTGTTTCTCCTTTGTGATGGGACTTTGTAGGATGAACGTTGAGATGTACTGTATAACGGGGACGGGGTGACCAATAAGGTCTGAATTTTATGGATGGGTGTTTAGAATTGATGTGGAGAAAGATGGCAAGCTGCCATTCTTGGATGTTCTGTTTGAGAGGAGGACTGATGGCTCTTTGGGACATTCTGTTTACAGGAAGGCCACCCACACAGATTCCTACTTAAAGCCTGATTCCCACCACCACCAGGCTCAAAATAATTATCTCATCAAAACATTATACCACAGGGCTCATTGCATTTCTGACCAACACCACCTGGCCAGTGAATTAAAACATGTACATCTGGCCCTCAAGATGAACGGATACTCTGACCGTACTATCCGCCAAGCTGTTTCTCCTACCATACAGAAACAACCACCTGATACTCCGATCAAAATCATCACACTGCCATACATAGCAGGCGTTACCAAAAAGATTTCCAAAATTCTAAACAAACACAAGATCCAGGTCCGGTTCAATACAGTAGACACAATCCGTGATCTGATTCCATCTGTAAATGATGTCATTCCTGACTTACAGTACCCCGGTGTTTACAAATTGAGTTGTACCTGCGGTGACTGCTATATCGGGGAGACGAAACGACATATTTCTGACCGAATTCGCGAGCACAAATCAGATTTGAAACACGGCAGAACAAATTCTTCGGCCGTGGCTGATCATTGTTTCAACACAGCGGGTTCTCATGACATTGTTTTCTCCAATACCAAAGTACTATGCAAACCTCCCGGTTATTACCAAAGATTTGTCCATGAAGCCATCCAGATACACAGACATAGACACAACTTCAACCGAGAGGATGGTTTTAAATTGAGCAACCATTGGAAAGATGTCATCAACCAAGTCAAACTTTAGCTGCCTTATAATTGTACAGCCATTTCCATTTCTACCAGTGGTTGTACTCGCTCTCGTGCAGTGCACCACCGCTTCCCCCGAACCCCCTGCAGCATAACAAAAGGCGGCTTAACTTAGCCCTCCCCTCCCCACCCACGTCCCTTTTCTGGCTCCTCCCCCCCCCCCCTTAACCTGTATATAATCTCGGGTGTCTCAGAGCTCTTCACTTGATACAGCTATTTGTATGTGGCTGTTCCACCTGAAGACGGAAGCTTGTGTTGCCTCCGAAACGTCGTGATTTAATTGAGATGTTTTCATTTATTTTATTTTACCTACGTGACTTTACCGCAAAAACCAAAGAGTATAGGTGTTAAGATGTTAAAACACCAAACTGAAACATTTTGCAAGGAATCAGATCTAAATTAAGCACTGATACTCGTGATAAAAATACCAAAAAAACATATTCTAATAGTATATCAATTGTTTTTTAAACGAATTGGTCCATACCAGAGACGGCTTTCTTTTGAGCCTCGTCTCAAAACGGTGTTAGACCAGAGGACATCAAAAGGCGAACATCACAAAGACAATGCCACTATCAGAGTAACGAGAGCTCGGGGTGAGCATCTACAGTGAGGGGAAAAAGTATTTGATCCCCTGCTGATTTTGTACGTTTGCCCACTGACAAAGAAATGATAAGTCTCGGTAAAGTCACGTACGTAGAAATACAATAAAATTATATTAAAACAAAAAACAATCACGACGTTTCGATCACAACGCAAGCGATCTTCATCGGGTATATTTTTGTTGTATTTACCTCCGTTATTTGTTCTTCACATCTGATGAAGATCGCTTGCGTTGTGATCGAAACGTCGTGATTGTTTTTTGTTTTAATATAATTTTATTGTATTTCTAGATACGTGACTTTACCGAAAAAAAACAATGAGTAATTTTATGCAGTCACGAAAGCTTTAATATTTTATTATCACACTTCTACGGGGAAGTTACCGTTGTAATTATGTGTAAGATGTGCCCTTTTTTGAGCTGCCGTTTTGTATTTACAAGAGGGGACAGGACAACTTCACCGCACCAAAGGGACGATGGACGGGGACCTGTACCGTCAAATCTTGGGTGAGAACCTCCTTCCCTCAGCCAAGGAATTGAAAATGGGTCGTGGATGGGTATTCCAGCATGACAATGACCCAAAACACACGGCCAAGGCAACAAAAAAGTGGCTCAAGAAGAAGCACATTAAGGTCCTGGAGTGGCCTAGCTAGTCTCCAGACCTTAATCCCATAGAAAATCTGTGGAGGGAGCTGAGGGTTCGAGTTGCCAAACGTCAGCCTCGAAACCTTAATGACTTGGAGAAGATCTGCAAAGAGGAGTGGGACAAAATCCCTCCTGAGATGTGTGCAAACCTGGTGGCCAACTACAAGAAACGTCTGACCTCTGTGATTGCCAACAAGGGTTTTGATACCAAGTACTAAGTCATGTTTTGCAGAAGGGCAAATACTTATTTCCCTCATTAAAATGCAAATCAATTTATAACATTTTTTACATGCGTTTTTCTGGATTTTGTTGTTGTTGTGATTCTGTCTCTCACTGTTCAAATAAACCTACCATTAAAATTTTAGACTGATCATTTATTTGTCAGTGGGCATACGTACAAAATCAGCAGGGGATCAAATACTTTTTTCCCTCAATGTACATCATGGGACCTCCTTTGCCAGTACCAAAATATGATAATAGGTTTTCACCTTTTTTCTTGCAACAAAGCAGGTGTTGAGATGTTAAAACACCAAACTAAAACCTTTTACAAGGAATCATGTCTGCATTAACCACAATACTTGTGGTCAGAAAGCTGTCTCTGGTGTGGACCAATCAATTTCAAAGACAATGCATATATTATAATAGTATGTTTTTTTGCTTGCGTTCTCACTACAAGTATTGTGGTTCATGCAGATATAATTCATTGTAAAAGGTTTCAGTTTGGTGTTTTAACATCTTAACACCTAAATTTAGATTTAAAGCTTTCCTGACTGCAGGAATTCATATTCTTGGTTCTTTCGGTAAAGCCACGTTGTTTCCCTTCTACGTGACTTTACCGAAATAACCAATAATATCATTAGACCTCCTTTGCCAGTACCAAAATGTAATAATAGGGGTTTTCCCCTTTTTTCTGGCAACAAAACTGAAACCTTTTTTTACAAGGATTTATGTCTGCATCAACCACAATACCTGCAGTAAAAATGCAAACAAAAACACACACTATGATAATATATGTGGCATTGTCCTTGAAACTGATTGGTCCACACCAAGGGACGGCTTTCTTTTGAGCCTCGACCCAATTGGTGCTCGACCAGATGACGCCAAAAGACGCGTTATGGCGTCATGTGGTCGAGCACCAATTGGGTCGAGGCTCAAAAGAAAGCCGTCCCTTGGTGTGGACCAATCAGTTTCAAGGACAATGCATCATATATTATCATAGTATGTTTTTTGTTTGCATTTTGACTGCAGGTATTGTGGTTAAAGCAGACATGAATCCTTGTAAAATAAAGGTTTCAGTTTTGTTGCCAGAAAAAAGGGGAAAACCCCCTATTATAACCAATAATATCTTAACACCTGTTTTATTGCCAGAAAAAAGGGGAAAACCTATTACCATATTTTGACACTGGCAAAGGAGGTTTTATGATGAAGGCTACACTTATAGTTGGCCAACGTGGAGTTTGTTTGTGACTCTTATACAAGCTGGAAATTCCAATAAAAGCCCACCCCCTTCCGGCCTGCCAATGTGAATTACAAATTACAATAGCTGTCGACGACCCCCACTGCGCATGCGCGGCGCTGTGCGTTGCCTAGCGACAGCTGTTGGGCGCCTCTGGGCTTCACAAATGAATTCAGACAAAGGTGCTTATCTCGCGTGAAATTAATAATGATTGCTTCTCAATGAGTTAAAGAACGTAACAGTTACATTGTTTAGCGTGCACTGGCCCTTGTGGTGTGTTCTTTTTGCGTGTGCGGGTATTCGTGTGATAACACGCATTGGTTAAAAGCCGAACTTTGGAATAGTGGTGATGCCACTAGGCCGCACTAGTGCAATGTCACAAAACATGATTTTAGATTTTATTCGTAATTATTTGAGAGACCAAGAGATGTAACGTCCTTGGTTGCAGTGGAGGCTGCTGCGTTGTTTATTAAGATAGGCTATTTTGTATGCCATTGTATAACTGTTATCTTTTTGATGGACTCATGCTCGTCGCGGGAATGTGGAATGTCCAGCGCTGGGTCGGGGCTTCTGTTTTAAATGCATGCGTCGCCCGATGCTACTGTCAGGATGCAAAATGTTTACGTGATATTGTAGGTTTAGAACATCACATTGACGGTAAGTTAAATAGTTGCAGTAAATTGACATAACTGCAACTCGCCATATGAATGTGGATCTTTCACCATTGGCTCAGGAATGCTCGTGGAAATGAGTGCGAATTTATTGTTCATATGAGCGGAGAGGCATGATAATGAAATGGGGGAGGCACACCAGCCTTTTGCTTAAAAAGTGAGACATTTCAACTGCTTTGTGGCATATGTCTGACCTTGGGTTGATTCTGTTGGGTTAGTTTGGAACTTTAACTTCTCATAACCTGAGCACCGTGTGTTTCCCATGTCTCCCCTGGCTTCTATGCCTATACATAAGCCGATTGCAGAAGTGCTGCCGTTTCAAACTCATGACTTCTACGATCTTCTTTCCGTAGTCAAAAGGTCTCACTTGTGTTAAATAAACGCGCTTGGTATAAGTACCGTGTTCATATTCTCAGCAGCCCTTCATGTATTCACTTTGACTTTTGACGACAGTATTCTACGTGGACTGAGAACAGTGGAGGCTAAGTATTAACAACGCCGGCTGCGGCCGACAGTGTTGTCATCCAAAATACATTGTGGTCTACTGCTGTTCGTGAAGGGCGACACGGAGTGCTGAGGTGCAGTGAGGAGGAGGATGAGGAGGACAATGATGAGGAGGAGGAGGAGGAAACGGCAGCCATCGCTCAACCGAGAGACGAGGTGCTCTTAGAGCCAGACCATGGCACTGTTTGGTGATAGACGACAACTACATTAATTGTCACCTCAAATGTGTTAACGCTTCTGAGTAAATATTCGTTGTGCAGGCTGGGGACATTCGGCTGATTAGAAAGGATGTCGATTTTCTTCTTCACTTTACAGTTTAGTTGTGCTATTGGCACATTGGACAATGTGTCCCATTTGGAACACTTGCAGGGTTAATGCGTTAGCCAATGTCCCGTGGCAAATGAGCGCAGGACAACTTGCTGAGTGATGTATCCACACTAATGGTGCTGCTCCATCCCGCACACCCTGCCATAGAGATAGTATCACATGGTAATCAATTTGAAATTTGTATAAAAAACATTCTCAGTGCCAGAGTTATTGCTAAAGTAAGTGAGGAATCAAATGTAATAAGATGGGGTTTGTTTTGCAGTCATTGTTAACTTGACTGGGACCATCAACTTGACAACCTGATTTAATCGTGGGTGGGTGTCTGAATTTTAACCCAGGACCTCAGCAGTACCGGCTCAGAGCAATGACCCCTGAGCCCACCTGTGTGCTCATCGTAAATGGTTTAAAGTTTTACTCTATCATGGCAAAGCTGGGGTTAGAAGGTTTACAACATTTCAGTGAAAAAGAGGATTTGGAGCACACAAGCGATTTGTGTGATGTGGCCCTGACTGTTATTTGAATGCATTTGGTGAAGTGCTCGTTTATTAATGTGAAATCTGATCAGGAACATTTATTGATTAGAAATTGTATTTTGTGATATTTTGTTTGCGTACGTTTAGGGCCTTTTATTGTTTAAATGTTGTAGTTGATTGTTTTGTTTTAATTCACGCATTTATTCCACAATTCTTTATCTTTGTGAAAATGCATTGTAATGTATTTTTTTTATTTAGTCACTAAATACAAATTGCAACTACTGTATAACATTCTTATTGATAATGTCATTTTTTTGTCTGAAAGATATGTATTGTCAAGCAGGGATTCTATTTAAATAGTAATTTTGTTGTGTAGTCTGGTGGCAACAGTACTGATTGACTTTGCAATTGGTAAGAGTAAGTTGTGCTTGTCAAATCTGATTAGCCTGCGCAATTACACATAATCAGTGTTATAAGCCTGTTTCACTCAGCCAGCTATTGCACCTGAAACGCATGAGGCTTTTAAACTGACAGCAAAGACACACATTCTATTCCCACCTTCCTGGGATTATAAGCCAGTTTCACATCTCTTCGAAACTAACCAAGTTAAGGGATGGAGAAATCGGAATATTTTCCCCAAATATCAGACAAAAAGGAAGATTCACCAGCATGTGTCTGGTCCTAAAAGGCGATGATCGTGCAAAGTAAATTATGTAGCTGTAGGCCTTATCACTACACGTTATTTCTTTTTTTAACACTGTAATGGCTGGAAATTGCACCTCAGAGTACGATCTATTTGAACATTAGCATGGCACTAAACTATGCAGAGTACGTGATGCGGTTCACATACAGGGTTACTGCGAATGGCGACTGGCCAGAGAAGACGGTGTTGATTTTTCCACAAGAAACGACGAGCTACTCATAGACTTGCAACAGCGGAACAGGTGATTATGTTTAAATACAATATAACATATTTACGTGTCGAATGTTTAGTGTAGCAATCTCTGTATGTTTAAATTCACGATTATAACATGTTTCTGCTTATTCTAAGTTAAGGAATATGCTACTAAATAATGCTTTTCTTTGACCCAATTTTATGGGGGAGGGGGGGTGGTTATGCTAATTTGGCTTTGTTGGAACGCTGACATGGTGGTTTGCGTGCTGCGCAATGAACATCATTACCTGAGTTCAATTACGGGCCATAGCTAGCATTCATGGCGAGTGATATTTGAACCGTTCGTGGGCCTCTCCCCACTAGCTCGCACTGACCAACGTGGTGAAGTATGGTTAAACAACGCCTGTGACCCACACAATTTGGGAATTCCTTCATTCAGCAGCGGTCTAACAAAAAAGGGCTCTAAATTCAGATTTACAAATCAAATTGACCAACATGAATCACATATTCTAGGTATTAATTTACAACATAATGGGAGATTTTTGGATTTGCATTTTCCTTTCATGAAAAAGATACGCATAGAATTGACTGATTGTATCCAGCTAGGTGGCAATGTAGCTTGAGCAATTAACCCACAGTTAGAAGTTTGCAAGTTAAATGACCACCACTTTGGAAAACTAACAGTCAGTGGTCATCTTATGGAGAGACTGGTCCCCGTTATAAAAATGTGGAAGTTCCACCACTCACGCAGGGCTGCTGACACTGATGGAAGTGAATGTCACTGTATTGCTCATTTAAGCAGTGAGACACTTTGGTATTGTGCATCTCTCGTAAAAAAATTAAGAGCAGATGTGAACAAGTCATTCACCAATCTAACTGATTGCTCAGATGGAAGGTGCTGTCTTGTACATTCTAATCAACTACAGAAAACCTTTGGGAGTTCAGCACAATTAAAATATGCAAATCGAGCTTGATCAAGATAGTGGGCACCTTTCTGACATTTACCCAAAAGACTTCACAGGGCTGAAATTGCCCATTTGAGCAGCTGGTCACATAAACAACACACGTTGTGTCGAATTACAGCTTGCCCAACATCTAACGTCGCACGCAAGCTGCCTCCGTTCATGCTGCGATGAGTTTATTTGTCTCGTCCCAGTGAGCACTTGTCACTTTTTCAAATTATTTTCTTGTAATTCGGCTCGACGGTATCAGCGAATATTCTGTCAATAATTGCTTGGGTAATCGCGTTTGCTGGGCTGTTGTTTTCAGCTCGATTAAGTTATGTTGAGTGGAATGGTATGTTGATTGATTTCATGTTAATCTTTAACACAGTGCATTGCCTGAGCTAATAGGCAGAACTACAGTGAAAAAGCCATACTTTCCCCGTGTCCATTCCTCAATAGTTCACCTTTTGCGCAGCCAAGGTGACTTTTTAAATCCTACATCAAGGCGTAACGTTTTTCCTGTGAGTTTATTAGGCATCAACACAGCATTATGTTGCCTTAAATGAGTACCTGGCACAGTGTATAAACATCAGCAATGTGGAGACAAAGGCAGCTGGACATAATGGAGATCACACCACCTCCTCGTGAACTAGGTCGGCCTTCGTTGGTGCTCGTAAACAGCACTTGCCCCAGTAAGCTATATGGGGTATCTTTGTGTGTGTGTGCGCGCGTGCGTGTGTATGTGTGTGCTGCGTTGAATTGCTGCCAAGGCTGCTGAGAAAGCTGCGAGTCAAGGACCCGCGACAAATTGAGTTGGAGAGGCTCGAGCAAGGGTTCTCCATTTACCTCAACGGGGCCAACGCGGACGGCAAACGGGTGACGCGGAAGGTCCAGCTCCCTCCCAGAAACGTCTGGACAGCAGGTACTATTGACAAATGTATACACTCAACGTATGCACGTACAGTTTAACGCATAGGCTTTCGCGTCCAATTGTAAATGTTGTGAGTGCTGAAGTAGTAACTAATTGGCACTTTTCTTAACGTGACAAACCTTACTAATTGGCTGTGACAAGTGGTGGTGGATTAACGACATATTTAAGTTGACACGTTTCTAACCCAAAAAAAAACTTATTATGGACATGCATGTACAACCTCGTTTGTATCAATCTACTGCTGGATGAGGGCCACAGCACGGCATACAGATCGCTGGCGTTAATTGATAATGCTTCACCACGCTTGTTATTGCAGATTGAAGGTGGAGAGCATAGACGTGGGAGCATATAATTACGTAGAAGTACTATACAATGATAGATTTGATGGACCATCCTCTGCTGTTGCAGTGTAGAACCGCAACACATTTTCCAAGAACTTCTGAGATATAATGAGATGGGTGCATATACTGGGTTATTTGGTCAAAGGCAAGTATTCAAAACACCTCTGTTTAACATGCGCCATTTGTTGAATCACGCCAGAGCGATTCTACGAATCGTCACAATTGGGATCACAATTTGTTGCAGTCAATTGTGTATTTTATCTCGTTTGTATCTTAATTCTGGCTCTATTTTACAATTTTGTAACTCCTTAAACATAGATAATAACATTGCCACAAATTAGTAAATAATTTGCGTGCAATTATATTGCCAGCGTAAGAATCACTGCTGCAACTGATCATTGCACGGATATTGAGTATCTATTATAAAAGCTCAGCATTCTGTTTGTTCGTCAACTAAATTAAATAGCCTTTCAGAAGGCCTGAATCAAAAATATATAGAAAGTGGACCCCCCCCCCCAGATGTGGGGGTGAAACGTTGATCCAACAGGTTTACAACAATCGTTGACCCCCCCCCCAAAAAACATTCACTCCCCACCCCACCCCCCACTACACACTCTACATACAATAGAGTCAGTAGTATCTGCACACAAGGGGTGGCGGGGAGGGAGAAGAGGATATCGGTGGGGACGAGGCGCGAAGCGACGAGAAGCATTCCGCAGGAGCTAGAATAATGCGGCCATAGGCCGCCGAAATTCAAGTAGTAGAAAAGGGAGGCAGTGGTTAGCGCAATTGATACCCGGCCATGACGAGTGATATCTGAACCGGTTCTTGTCAAACCCGCTTACCCTTTCACCAGCCCACACTGACCAGCATGGTGAAGTATGATCATACAACCACCACGACCAACACGGCGTGGGGAGGGCCTTCATCCAGCAGGTGATTGACGAAGGCGCTCAGAGTGTGTGTGGTTTTGTTAGTTCACACGGGGCCTTCGTTGTGAAAGCAAATGGCGCTGGAAAGCCAGATGCTGTCGCTGGCCTCCCTGTTGAACGGCGATCCAATTTACTTACGAACAGGTCCCTCAAGGCAGGACGGTGACGTGACGGAGGGGAAGACGGGCAGGTCTCGCACTGCTCCCGGCAAATGTCAACGCAAAGGATGGCAGCAGGTTAAACGCACAGTGTGGCATGAGCCGAGGGTTCCACCTGGGTGTAATTGATGAGGCTTGAAGAGGCATTCCAGCTTCTCTTGTTGGCAAATGATCCTTGTAGGTTGTGTGCGTGCCCGCGTGTGTGTGGGTGTACGTGTCCGTGTGTGAGCGGGGAGGTATGCTTGTGTATCAGGGGGCGGTGGTGCAGTGGTTAGTTAATGCATTGTAACACCAACTTCAATTTATGGCCAAGGATAATATCAGTGGGGAGTTATTACAGAATTGGTGCCAGGTGTCCTCTAGGATGACTCAGCCATAAATAGATGGTGTGGTGTGTGAACATCAGCACTGGTGAGGCAAAGGCGATTGGGTGTGGTGCTAACCATGCCACCCTTCACACATGCCATTCTCACCTTAATAGATGCTCACGAACAACACTCGCCCCAACAGTCTGCTAAAGTCTATACAGGGGATCTGTCTTTTTTTGTGCAGGGAGGATTGTGGTGCAATGTTTTGCATACTCTCTTTGTTCTCAGTGACTTGCCTTCGATGCCAAATCATGGAAAACGTCAGTGGCACATGGTATTTACGCCTGTTCGGGCCTCTTCTAGATCATCTCGGCCTTAAGTGATTACGTCTTTGGTGTATTAACATCAGTGCCGAGGAGATAAAGATAAAGGTGGCCAGGCGTGGTGCTGGTCACACTCCTACCACATGTGCCATTCAGATCTTAATTGGTGCTTGCCTATTCCGTAGGCTATACGGCTAAGTGGGAGATCATTGTGTGCGTGGTGTGAACAGAGTTCCGTTCAACTCAAGACGGATGGGGGACAATGGGTGAGAGTGGCTGGTCCAGTAGAATACTCGGAGGACTTTGACCTGGATGCTGACACTACACTGGATGCAGAGGAAGCGGCTGTCAAAGATAGCCGAGATGTAAGCTAACTACCACATGCAAGAGGCAGTTAAATACGAGTGCTGAAACAGTACTCAAAGGCATTCTAACCTAATCACATGCTGCTTTCAATGCACCGTTCCTCATGGTTTTCGAATAATGTATCAGAGATTTCAATAATTTTTTATTGAATTGTGGTGAATGTTACGTCTGCTATTGGCGACAAGGGTCAGGTGTAACCAGTATATATATAACTTCTCTGAATAAAAAAATGTTGATTATTACACAAGTGATTTGATGCATGCATCTTCAGCTTATTAATCTGCATTGATAACTCAATGCGCCATTACACCCCGAGAACTAATGCACCTCCGATTAGCACAGTTGCCTACGTATGGTGCAAAATATGTTCGACATACATAGATACAACTAACCACGTGAAATTACGTTGATTCCTATTTTCATTACTGTAACAACGACGAGCCTGTTCTTAAGTTTCGATCTTCATTCCATGGACAATTTTTGCTACCGACTGAATGCATAAAATTAATCACAGCCCAAAAACGGGCTGATTCAATTCAACACGAGACTGTCCATTACTACATTAAATAAATGACTCTCGTTGATCACTTTTGCAATTGTTAATTTTAACTATAATTTATTTGAAAAGTTAATATGGATTTCTGTTTAAGTTCGCAACATAATCGAGTGACATCAGAATATGTTTGAATCAACATCAATTTTGCTACATAACAAAATACCCAATGGAAACATTAAATAACTCTCGTTGATGCGTACCTAGGCTGGGAATACTGGGTTGTGCAACACGAATTTGAAATGTATTAATATTTGAAAACATTTAATGTAATTAAGCTTCCAGCTCATGTCAGACAGCCTTGGAGAGCGTCTGCATTATGCTGAGGACTTTTAGCTGTTTGCTCATTAAAATATTGCGGTCTCTTCCAGAACGAGACGGAGTCAGATGCCTCAGGAGAAAAACACAATGGGGCGAGGAAATGCGAGCCACAAAATAAGCTCCTGCTTACTCTGACGGACGTCAAGGTATTTGCCATACAGAACAAAATTCTACACAAGCAAAATATATCAACTATAAGTTAAAATACATGCTTATAATCACACTACAGCTTTTCATGAAGCCTTTATACAGTGAATCTAGCTGAGTGACACGATTCCTATACAGCTCAACTGACCGTCTTTCACACTAGCATACCTCTTGTAGACACATTGACAATAAGGTTGTATGAGAGATCTTACCTGGTAAAATAAAAAAAAAACATTTGTTTGGTAAAATAAATATAGTTTTAGTTGTATATGTTTCTTTATTATGTGTTTATGGGTAGTGGTGGCACAGTGCTTAATTAACTGTGGGAATTAAGTACTGTGCTGGTAAATTAAGTTTGATTCCTTGCCAAGCACAACTCAAGCAGTGGCTGAACTTGGCCTTGTCCTCGACTTTTGGTCGAGTCAAACGCAAAAAAAATACCTGCATTGGCAGTGTAGGCAAAATCAACATCGGGAAGACGAAAGCAGGCCAGGCATGCTTAACCCTGGCCATGCGATCCTCTCGCGTGCCGTGGCAACCATCCCAGTGGAAGTGCGAGGCTAAGTCACGGTGCGGAATGCTCTGCAGGCTCTGCGCAAAAGTTTGAAATTCAGCCTGAGCACAAGCATCTCCAGCAACAAACCCAAGGAGGGAGTCACTGCCATGGACTCGGACAAGAATTCTTCAGAGGACTCCATAGAGGAAGACCTCGACGGTGGCAGCTCAACGGGGAGTCCCGGGGAGCCGCAGGCTGCGACGGCGCTTGGCCGGCCCTCTCATCACAAGGGCACAGCGGACAAACCGTCGGCGGCAGCTGGCGTTGGCTCTGGGGAGCTCATTGTGCTGGAGTTTGCGCCAGCTGGTGTGTGTGCGCGCACACTGACAGTGTTGAACGGTCGAGTTTGAACGCGCTGTCATTTTGTTTTTGTTGTTATTTTCAACTAAGACAACATAACATGGGGCATTGCTTTAATTTAGATATGTTTTATTAGCGTGGTTGTTTTTACTTTGTTCATTTAAGCAAAGATTGTTGCTTGGCTCATTAATTTGGTTCTGATAATAGACTGTTGATTGTCTGCGCTTCAGGCAGCTGCATGCATGATTCGTCATGCAGGTAAAAGTCAAAGTTATTTTTCTGAGCGTGGAGCGGTTGCTCATACGATCTTATTTTCAGTCGTCTGGCCAGGAGTGGAAATTTCTCAATTTCTCGTAGGGATGAATCGGTCCAAAGAATAAACCACTGTTGACTTCCCACAGAGTGGGAACACATTTTATAGACCCTGGAACGCTGACCTCCCACTTAGATATTATTGTGAGTCTCACTTGGATATGATAGTAAGATTCACAATCTAACAACTGTGCCATCTAATCATCTATTTATACGTACATTTGTGCGGAGTAATTATGTGCGTTTGTGCCTTTACAATTAAGACACCATCTCACATGTAGCAACCTGCCTGGACCCTTGTACCGTCTTCCCACCCTCATTTATCCTCCTATCCTCTGTGGACAGAAAGATTTGTTAATGTTTATTGCCCACATAAATTATTAATTTATTCAAGATTCTGTCTTAACTGATATTGTTCGTCAAGAGCCATCTCTATTGCGATACTCAGGTTTTCAGTGGTGAATTATAACACAGGGGCCGTTTTAAGTATGCTGATATGTTCAGGATTTTACTTTGCTAATTCTTATCTGGATTAAGCATAAAATACCAAGCAGGTGTGATCCATATACAAAGTACATTCTTTAAAAGGAAGATGCAACCAAAAATACGAGGTTTTCTTGCAGAAAGTTATCTTGGTTGTATGTCCTGGGATGGTTGAAATATATTTTCAGGTTGTTCACGAGAAAAACGTATGTATACCTTTTTTCCCCCGTGGTGCAAATGATCTACTGTTGTACATTGTCTTGAGGAGTGGTTCCACTGAGATAATAATCATTAATAATAATTTAAATTTCTAAAGCGCCCTTACACAATCGTTCTCAGTTAATCCAAATTGCTATTGTAAACTGTAAATTGTATTAAAGATAACTTTCAAGCTACAGTCACCTCCATTGTAGATTTCTAGTGACATCACTGGAACATCATTGTTCATTTTAAATGTTGTAAATGCAGTGACATCACTAGATTACTATGGAGGGCCTCGATGGGATTTCAAAGTCTTTTTGCTCAATTAATAAGTCTTCAAACTCGTGTTAGACAGCCTAGATATGGATCTACAAGATAAGAGCTATATTCCTGGTTCTTTCGGTAAAGTCACATAGAAGGGAAACAAAATAAAATATAAAACAATAAAATTCTCACGACGTTTCGATGTTGGCGCGGAGTGGTCCAACCGTCCGTGCGGGTAAAACCACAGCAAGAATTTCAAATTTTCTTGCTATGGTTTTCACACCTGATGATGATTGCTTGTGTTGCAGTCGAAACGTCGTGAGAATTGTATTATTTTATTGTTTCCCTTCTACGTGACTTTACCGAAAGAACCAAGAATATGAATCCCTGCAGTCACGAAAGCTTTAATTCAAAAAGATAAGAGCTATTTTAAGTGTTTGAGTCGTTGCATCTTCCTTTAAAAAAGAACAAGAAACCGCACAATCATGATCGGCGCATTCTCAGCTACGTTCTGAAACCGATCCGGCCTGCTTTCTCTCCAATAAACAACGTGCTCGTAGCGGCAGAATAATAAAGCACTTTAATTATGCATCCTCCTTTTTGGCCACGTTTGGTTGGGTTACGGCCTTATTGAAATTCCTTTCAGGGGCTCGGAGGGAACGGCTGCTCTCTGCCAAGAGGAAAGCCGACGCTGACTCCGTGGTGCCCACCAAGGCGATGTTGGCGCGGAGTGGTCCAACCGTCCGTGCGGGTACTGTCATCCCGGCCTCCGTGGCCCAAGACGGGCGGAACGTCGTCCTTCAGAGCGGTAGTGCAGCATCTCTGCTTACAGTGCTGGGATGTGTGTGGTGGAGGGGGGGGGAGAGGAGAGAAAGGCATCCCTTGTTCTCTGTGTGCGCGCGCACTTACACAATGCGGCTACACAAAAGGGTTTTACCTTTCCGAATGAAAACTCGCTCTTGGTTAGGCCAGGAGATGGCTAACGCCACCGCTGGCAGTGGTGGCGTTTGATAAGGTACTTGTTTACCTTATGCGATGTTCAGTAAAAGTGGTTATGAGGTTTTTGTTCTCTGTTTTCACGACACGGAGAGCAAGTGGTAGATAATATAACACCTGTATGTATGTTGAACTTCATTCGCACCGTACGTAGCCAACCGTGCTAATCAGAGCTGCGAGTGTTAATCGGACGTACGGGGTTTTGCCACCTGTTGTCACAACACTTGTTATGACACCCACATCATTGTATCTAAGTGGGACAGGCTTGCTTCTTTGAGTCTGATGGTTTTATTTCTTCAGGCCTCTCAATTGTAGATTGGGCATTGTGTAGCACCTTGTGTGCTTAAGAGGCTGCCCGTTTAAAAGCAATTAAAGTATGAATTTGGCTTTAAAAAGACACTTAGAAATGCATTTCGTTAGCTCATATACATATATAATTGCATGTAATTAAAATAAAACACTCAGGCATCGTGAGACAGCTTTAAATAAGCACACTGGATGTAAACAAATGACAGTGGTGGTGTTTTTTGTTTGTTTGTTCCAGGTTCATCAAAGGGAGTGGAGCAGCCCCTTTCAGCAAGCAGGCGTGGGGTCTCCCAGGAGGCGGACCCCACCAGCAGGGCCCAGGCTGTGGTTCAAGCTGTGCGGACAGAAAACCAATCTCTCATGACCTCTACTCCCACAGAAAAATCTGTGCAGGTGCCCTTGGCTGGCTATTGTTGTTGTTTCCTTTGGCGGTGGTGTTGTAGAAGCAACCAGAATAGATTATTATGGCATTTGAATTCGGATGTATGTGGAGGTAGGATAGGGCGAAACGGTTTGGAATTTGGGAACAGTCCATGGCAAGAAAGTGTAGGGGACTGTATGCGCAGAACTTGAAGGATGTGTGTTGTACTTTATAAACAACTTCAGCATCTAATAAAAAGAAAGAAGCGGTAGAATGGTGTGATGGCATCAACTTGGTAGAACATTCGACTTTTCATAAGAAGATAACCATTTTCAATTCCATTTGGTAATCAACGCTGCCCTTCCATCTGTTTGAAGTCGATAAAATAAGTACCACTTTGCGGCACGCTGACAGTTGTGCTATGGAGAAAACTAATCTCTGCCCCAATATTCTTTTGAGTATGGATACACTTAGATTTTTGACGTTTTTGTGCTTAAGAGCGTCATTACACATTTCATTGCCATATTACACATTAGCATAGTTTTATACTTTAATTATGAACTGTACGATGATAATGCAAAGGTATGTGCATAGCGAAATTGAGCTCCCTAGGCACAAGAAAGCCTGGAGCAGTTACCCACCAACTAAACACAAATACCAGAGGCACAGATCTGTTAATGATTGGAGGCGGCTGGGAAGGGTTTCGAGTAATACTCAAAAGACTACGTGCTTATTCACAGAGGGGAGGCACACTGCCAAAAAGTGTAATCTGGGGAGGCCTCTTATAGTGATGCAAGAGACAATGTTCAACCCTTGCTAAGGTTGCTTGAAAGGTATTTGGCTTAAGTGAGCACAGAAGCTGAAGAATAAACTACGTATATTTTGTATTCATACACTGCCATTTCTGCTGCGCTTTGTCACATTAAGTTATGTTATTATTTGCGTGGTATTTTAAATGCATCGTCGGCGTGTTGCCTTGAGTTTAGTGTCCTACTTCATTGACGTTTAAAATGTAGGAACGTTGTATGCTTAACAGGCCACTCAGTAAGTCATGCGTAACGTTTGTAGGCTGTGATTTTTTTTGTTCAATGTTTTTTTTAGGCTAATAATTCACCCTCTGAAAACGACAGTGTCAGTAAGGCCGTGGAAAAAATTCAGCAAATGGATCTATGGTAAGGCCAGAGAGACTATTTCACAGTGGTTATTTCATTATAACTATTAAAAAGAATGACAATGATGTAATAACAATGACGAATACCTTTTTTCCACAAATCGGAAAACAGTGATCTATAGTGACAACTGCATTTTACTTCCTACACTTAGAAATATGTTGTAAATGTGATGTTTTAATAACTCTAGCACATGCCTGTATAAACTGTATGATCTGATTTTAATAATGGTGTTCAATTACCTTGACCAAATAATATTACTATGACATACTAAAGTAGCACTCGGCTAATATGTTTTCCCCCCAAAGTGCCATTTTAATGTCCTGTCATACACCATTATGTAGGATTGGTCTAAGGGATAATAATGGAGTTGTATTAAATCATTGTAATTAGTATTTGGCTTTAATAAGTGGGAATGTATAAGTTTCATATGCTTAACGCGTAAAAATGTTTGGCTGTACTTTAGATGAATGATAGACCATTACCAAAAGAGACTCATCGCAGAATAATATTGCGTTGCATTCGTATCTGTACTGCATCATGAACACTGCGACCTGAATAAAATATCTGCCCATGGCTAACCACAGTGGGGAGTAACATCTGAACAAATCCTGCCTCTTCTCCTTTCACGAACCAGCACTGACCAGGCTAGTGAAGTATGGCCAAACAACCCCATTACTGACACAGGCTTTCATCTAGCAGTGGCTTGAAGAGAGCTGTAAATTATTTTATTATTATGAGTTCTGGCATACCTTCACCTTTAATTACTCATATTAGCTACTGGCAACATTCTTTCCATTCACTTCATATTCATGTTTCAATCAAGCAATACTACACATTGTGTAGTATGAATGGCATTTTATTCTGATTTGTTTGTTGTGTCCCCTGTGCCGCGCTTGATACCCAGGCAGCAGAAAAAGCTGCTGAAAGCCCTTGGCAAGCTTGAGCTCTCAGCCTCAGCACCATCAAACGATGTCAGAACCCCGGTGAGCGATGCCAGCGGTTCGGCGAGCCCGCACATGTCGGCCTTACAAGTGGACCCGGAGCGCCCGGGAGCGTCCAAGGCACATGGAGAAAGTAGCGGCACTGGAACCACTGGGCAAGGAGCACGAGAAAAAACTTGCGGCGCAAGCCAAAATTCTCAGCAGCGGTCGAGAAAAGCCTCCATCTCGGATGAGGAGATGTCCATGAAAGATCAGTTGGAGAAGGCCACCGGGAGGAGGATTGCTAGTTCTGAGGAACCCCAACAAGTGCCCGCCTGGCTGGAGGGAGCGGACAGACGGGAGAGAACGAAGAAAAAGAAGATGTTGTCAAAGAGCAAATGGAAGCCACCCTGGCTGGAAGGCGACGTTGACTTACGCGGAGGTTCCAGCGACGAGAATCGGAACAAGGCTACAGCCTCCACGTCGCGTGTAGGTACGTGAAGGCAACGCTATTTTGAAAGCATTGTATGTCATTTAAAATTTAAACCGGGCGATGTTTTGATATGCTCATAAAAGTATTGATTATACACAAATAGATTGGTCATGCCACTGAAAATAATATTTTATTCAAGGGTAACATATTTACAAATGAATGCATGTGAAAGTAATGGTTTACCTCCCTAATGAAAATCATAGAGTATGAGTTTTTTGTATACTAGTGTTATGATTCAGGCTCGTGTTAAATTTGCAAATCTTTTCTCTTTACGGTGTTGCTGCATGTAGAGTCAATAGTGGTATGAAATTTGAAATCTCCATTTATATAAATTAATTAGAATTGATGAAGAGATTAACCAGATGATAATGAATTCCAAGTGCATTAAAACATTCCAACTAAGATTTAAAGCATGTATGCATGAGCTTTGTCCGTCTTTCTGTCTCATAGGTTGGAGTGGGCACTATAACTGTTATAAACATGAACAAAAATGAACTAAAATGTAGTCAACAGTTGTGTTGCGATTAGGTAATTACTCTATTTGAAAACCAGCCAAATTGATCTTAGGGTTGCAGAGGTGGCTGGTTGGCTCAGGCATAAACCAGTGCAAAACATTACTATTTGCAAATATGCTAAAATAATTGTGCCCTGGCATCTACCCATTGGCTTCCAGAATGAAAATTAAATAATTCCAAAACACAATCGCCAGCTTCGACACCATTGGATAATCCATGCGTATGCATGATTTTGCCTAAGTTGTTTTTAAAAATTACACTTTTCTTCTAGGAGAGGCAGTGCGATCTGCTCGGTCGATCCACAGCTCCAGCAGCAGCGGGGAGGAGCGCGGCACCCGGGATGCTCTTTGCGGGGATGAGTGCAGCAGGGGAGATATCGACTTGGTCTCATTCCTGGACGCAGGGCCCCGGAGGGCAAACAGGCCCTTGAGTGGACGTCGGAGCGCGCTGCAAACGACCAAGTGCACCGAGGCGCCCATGTTCTCAGGTGTGGTTGTAGCAGGACTGCACTTGCGTGCAAAAATGCTTGCTCGCGTGAACGTGTTTTATTAGGGAATGTGCTCTTTAGATGAGTAAAAAATCCGAGCGTCTGCAACCTTTTTTGAGCGTGGGCTACATTAGGAATGTCCTAGTTCCCCATGGACAGTCACGTTCGCGATCATTGATGTCGTTGTGGTAGCCTGTTCGCGGCAAACGATCTCGCACATCACTAAAGAGCTATGATGGAGCACCTTCCTGTGACTAATGCATTTTTTTTAAATCATTGTTGAAGCATCGTATCTCAGGTATGTATGTCCAAGAATATTTTTTTGGGTTGCATTTTTAATGTGTAGTTTACGAGAAAACATTCTGTCAACAAAGCAACAAGAATGCAGGATAAACAGTAATAAAACAAGGTACAGATGCAGAATAAAAATACAAGCACAGCATACATTTACGAATTTAATGTAACTTGTCATCCATTTTTTAGCCAGTTTAAAAATTCTAAAAAATGACTAATGCCATATAATGTGTTTCGTGGACTGCTCCAGTACTGGGGAATTGTGGACAATGTAAAATAAGTAAATATATGTCAGGGGTACCTTTGATCGCATTCAATTACGTACAGGCCTTTGACCGATGTGCTTTCTGAAAGGCCGTAATTATAATATATATTGGGGGGGACACATCCCCCCAAATATGCTCAAAATGTACCCCCCAATATATTGCTATAAAATAGAATTCTGGTGATATGATTGTGGTTATGGCTGTACTTTATTAATCCCTAATCTCTGCCATTACATACAATGAAACAAGAAAAGGTAAAATATATAAAACAAGAGCAATGTAATACAATACACTATTAGACATTACTGTAAAAAATAAATAAAAGGTCCATCCTATGTGTTAGTGAATTCTGTAATATTTTAGGCAGGAAATTCGTTTTAGACCCCCTGGAAGATTTGGTCCCCTCCCAATGTTGACTCCATTGCTACGGCCTTGGCTTTGTGGATCAGTGTATTGCATTTGATTTAATGAGGCATACTCTGAACTGGTTTCGACTTCAGGAGTTGCATTTTTGTTAACAGCACTGGCCATACAAAAATCAATAATTCCAACGTAGAGGTGGCAGGGCGGCTCAGACATGAAAGTGCTGAGCTGGCACCGCTGACTCCTGGCAGAAGCGCTGTGATTAAATCGCAATCTCAAGTGAAGCCAGTTGATCGTCTCAGCTAGGCCATCAGTCATTGCCCAAAAATGAAATAAATAAATGTGTATTAAATCTCGTTTTGAACTTTATTTGGCTAAATCCCAAGTCCGATCATTTTCAATGTCATTTCAGTTTTTATCCTAATGCTTATGAGAAAGTGAGCCTCCCCCCCCTACTGAGTGAAGGCTAAAAAGGCAACATGATTTCGCCAGGTTGTTCTGCCACATGAAGCTCACTGCTATTCAGTATTTCCAAACTGATTCTTCAACTTCGGTAATAAATAATAAGTAACAATAATCACATCGGTGTTATCTTGACTGGTAATTGAACGGCAACTCTGATGTGCACCAACTTGGGGCATTACCAGAACGGGCACAGGCTTGCACTTTTATTTTTTATTTTTACCACAAGCTATAGTTAAGGCTGAATTAATGGGTGTCCCACTAAACAAAAATCTAAGCCCACAATGTCTACCCATTGAAGTTCTTTCCCCTGGTAAAACCTCCATGGTGGGTCTTTTTGTTGATGCTGCCACCATTAGTGCCACCCTACGTGACTAACTCTTGCTTTTCGGTGCCTGGACGTGCCTTTTGCCGAACGGGTGTAGCCCACGGGACAAAGGCAGAGCAAATCACTTAATGTACGGTTAGCGTGAATTGAAAAGTGCATTGTATGTGCTATTGGCAGGTGGTGGGAACAAGAACAAATTTGGTGCACAGCTCCAAATAATAGACAACTTCATAGTTGACTAGAAACACTTGAAGTCCACGAATGCAAGGGGACACCGCTGAAAGATTACACAGATGGATTCAATACCCCATGACCTTTATTGCCATACATATTCTGGCCACCTTGCAAGCCCAGTGGATTTGGGAATTTAACAAAACTATGTGAGCTATCGGCCTTTTCTTCCAAATTGCCAGATTACAGGCATGCACCACCATGCCTAGTATAAGTGCTGGAAATAACTGAAACAAAGACGTGATATGGGCCTGTTGACTGATGAGCTTTCTCATTAACATGAGTTGCTGTGGCGCATGTGAAGTTTCATACAAATGTTCATCTCCAATTTTGTATTGTACATGTATAGCCCTTTTGTCAATCCACTGCTGGATGAGGGCTTCCCAAGCCATGTGGGTTGTGGGGGGGTTATTAACCAGTACGTTACTTCACGACATAGCCCCCCCAGTCCAGGATTTATGACTGCCCACTTGTGTAAGGGGTCACTTATCCAATTACTATCTCGGCTCATCCGTATGACCATATGTGTAATCATGAATGAGCTTCGAGATGTTCATGGAAGGCTGTTGACCAATTATATCAGAAAACTCAGTCAGTCACATTTGGTTAGAAGGCCACACCGGAGTGATGAGGGAGAAAGTTGAAACCAGTCCAGAGTTTTCCTACCTCAACATTTTGTTGGTGATGATATAAACCCTTGGCTGCCTTGTTTATTAACAACTTGCAGAGGTATGTATCATCTAAAAGTGTATTGTCTTTTGCCGCCAGTGTCAGAGTATCAAAGCTGTAGAATGTTCACAACATTGTGGTTACCAAATACTTTGTTAGGGCGTTCCCCTTAAAGGTATTTGATGAAACTTGATGTCTGTTGCCAACAAGTACTGCATGTGTGGGCCTGCACAGACAAATGTGTTATGCATTGAGTTCAATATCGTTTGTCTGTTATAATCGTTTTTATTTAGCTCACGTAGCAGAGTGCGTATTGCCATCGTGCAGCTTTGCACGTCTTGTATGTATGTTTGTTAAACGTATTTCGCACTGTACCATAGCCAACCGTGCTAATCGGAGGTGCGGGGGAAAGACAACAAACTAACGTTCACTACGAATTCATAAAGATAATCAGTTTAACACGTAGGCTTTCGCGACCAATATTATTCATAATAAAGGTTTTTGGGTTAGATCGCGTTATTTATAAATGTGTCGTAACCCTCCACCACCCGACACGGCCAATCAGCAAAAAAAGTGTCACGTTGACAAAAGACAAATAATTCACTACTTTAGCCCACCGGTGTGTTGAAGAGTGAATCCAAATAAGGTGTAACCCTCCACCACCCGACACGGCCAATCAGCAAAAAAAGTGTCACGTTGACAAAAGACAAATAATTCACTACTTTAGCCCACCGGTGTGTTGAAGAGTGAATCCACAACATTTACAGTTTGAGTACGAGGTTTCGCTGGTAAATACATCCAGCATCATCGGGCAATTCGCCAGAATGGTAAAGCCCTCGCTTGCTCCCGGTTTTATATAGAGCAGCAGGGTGACGTCATTATTTAACTCATTTCAGGTGCAGTGATTAGAGGCGGAGGGGGGGGTATTGTAATTATATAATCTACAACTCATTACTAATCATAACCATTGACTGATTACTAATCGATTATATAATTACAATACCCTCCGCCTCTAATCACTGCACCTGATATGAGTTAAATGATGATGTCACCCTGCTGCTCTATATAAAACCGGGCGCAAGTGAGGGCTTTACCATTCTGGCGAATTGCCCGATGATGCTTGATGTAATTACCAGCGAAACGTCGTACTCAAACTGTAAATGTTGTGGATTCACTCTTCAACACACCGGTGGGCTAAAGTAGTGAATTATTTGTCTTTTGTCAACGTGACACTTTTTTTGCTGATTGGCCGTGTCGGGTGGTGGAGGGTTACGACACATTTATAAATAACGCGATCTAACCCAAAAACCTTTATTATGAATCGTAAAGATAATGTTGGAGACAGACTGCCTTAAAGCAGGACAGTAATAGAGTACTGGAGGAGTGTTTTAATTTCTATGTCTAATTTGGCTCCCGACCCTAATGCCTGCATATTTGGAGTTTGCGTGTTCTCCCTGTGGCCGCGTGGATTTTTTTCTGCGTCCTCCGGTTTTTACCTCCACATTTAGAAACATGCGTTTATAGTATTTACCTGCTATAAATGTGCACATGCTAAACCACTTTTTTGAGTGATCATTTGTGACTAGGTCGCTTCTGAAAAAGAGCTATATGGTGCAGTGGGCCTTACCTGGTGTAATAAAAGTAGTAAAATGAAAATAGTACAGTTTAGTTTTTAGATTTATGTCTTATAGAACTGCTTAAATGCACTTTGCGATTACTTGTCATGAAGGTCACTTAATACGTCCGAGGTTAACGCTGTTGCCGCTTGTATAAAAACTACGCCCACAGTACTTATAAGCGGTAGCCAGGTGTAGTGCATCCGAGCGGCTAGAAATCTTGACGATTGCGCACTGAGAGAACAGAGGTCATGGCGACGAGCGATCCCGTTCACCTCGTCGTCCGCGCTTCTCCCGCTGGTATCGGTGCAGAGCGGAGCGGCGGTGCAGAGCGGGACAGCGGTGGGGACACGCGAGCGCGGTGGGCTCGGGAGCAGGACCGCTCGCTCCTCGAGTCTTGGAACTCGCTACTCAAGTTTGACCGCACGCAGAAGGGCCGCTTGCCCAGCCTGGACCTGCCCGACATGGAGGCGGCTGGGCCCGCGTCGCAACGCTCCGCCCGGTAACCCGCCACAGACTCCGGCTCCTCTCGCAACCTGCCCCGGCGCCCACCGGTCGGTTGCGGGGCTGAGCTTCCGCAGTAGGACAGGCAACACGCTGCACTGTTGACGACACCTCAGGGACAGGCGATACCACTGAAATATTTCCACTGTAGGCGTGTGATCGATTCATCGTTGCAGTTTTTTTTTATGCTAATGATATGAGTATCGAATCGTAATAATGCAGTGTGCTGCCCTTTATCAATACACTGCTGGATGAAGGCCTCCCCCACACCGTGTGAGTCGTGGGAGTTATTTGACAATACTTCACTGTCAGTGGTGGTCAGTGTGAGCGAGTCAGTGAAGGCAGGGAAGTATAAATGCATGAGCATAGAAGCACAGTACAATCATGTATGTTGTAGCGCAGCTCCGTGCTCACAAAGTAGCGAGTTACAGTGTATCAAATCATGTGTAGAAAGTGCAATTGTCGACGTATGGCTGAAGTGGTAGTGCAGTGGTTAGTGTACTTCAGTATGAACCCGGTGACCTGAATTCGATTCCCTGGCACTGATAAACATCACACCACCAACTAGCGTGATTGGCTATGTACGGTGTGAAAGAAGTTCACCATACATACATCATCAGTGGCGAGTGATATTTGAACTTGCCCCCCCCCCATCACCATCTCGCACTGACCAGCCTGGTTACGTTTGGTGAAACACGTCGTGAGGAGACCATCTAGCAGCGAATTGATAGAGAGCAGTCAATAATAATAATAATTCTGCACATTTCATGAAAATGTTTCCTTTAGGTTCATGGCCATAACGAACAAGACAGAACAACAGAACAAATACAATGTGGATTTATAGTGTCTAAATACAGTACTTTAAAGAGCACAAATGGGACAGTATCGACAGTATACACGAGGACAGTTCAGATGAGACGTAAAATGAAAGTGAGACAGACGGCACACTCACTGCTAATGCGATAGACAGTGCAAACAAGAATCGACTTTTGAATGGAATCTCGACGACTTTCTTGGATCGCGATGGGGGAGCGGGGTCGGGGGGGGGTAGTTGAGGACATATCATTATTCATGACTCGTTCCACACTGGAGTATCAAGCTGCATTAACCTGTGATTAGAGTGGTGACTTAAGTCATAGTGCTTGACATTCTCAACCAGAATGCTGTGAGTTGGAGGTCGACTTAGCCAATCACCATCCCTCTACAATTGATAAAATCAATACCACTCGCGGTGAGAGGACAACAAGTGGATGTGTATGTCTTTTGAACTTTTTTCCACACTGTACGTAGCCAACCTTGCCAATTGAACGTGCGGATAGTCTTGTGGATAGTTGTGGCCCCCAGCATATAAATGTGGACTTTTCATCACTGGAATAGACGCGAGCGCTACCCTACAGTTATTTAAGCATGGGACTACTGTAACTTGACTTTGACATTTAAAGGGAGACAAACAGCAGCGATTTCGTAGTGGTCTGCTGACAGCAAAATACATTAACTTCAAAGGTTTGTGTAGGAATGTGGCAGCTGAATTGATGATAGTCGCACACTTGTGTAAGTTTGCTCATTGTGGAGTTTCACTAGACTCCCATTGGGAAGATGCAGAGGAGGTGATTGTGTTTTCCTGCAGATTAAATTACATATTTCGTTTTTGGTTTGCTCGTGTTTATAATTACACTCTTATTTAACTTAATTTGAGCCAACGTGGAACAAGTAACTATGCATGGCCCACCACGGATAGTGACAGCTTGAGGTTTACATTTACGTCGTGTGGTTTACAAAACAAATATCATTAAAGTGTCACTTAGGGGGATAGCGTGGGTAAGGTAATCTTGCTGCTGATGAGCCTGTGCTATGGGAACGTGCGGGGTAGTGGGAAAGTGGCCCTCCCACATTTGGACGGTCTCAAACAATGGTCGCTGAGAATAATACATGCACGTTGCCAGACTGTATGTATGTTCGCAAAAATGGAAGGAACCGGAAGGAGAGGAAGTCCTAACAGAGAATGGCTTGACGACGACAAAAGAGATTGGTGCCAGAAAGATGTGGCACGACTTGAGCATATTGGCACAAGACAGAGGAAACTGGAAACAAATGACAGTGTGTAGTGGACACCTATGGGCTATCTGCCCATGGATCGTGATGATGATGATGTATGTTGAACTTCTTTCGCGCCGTACGTAGCCAACCACGCTAATTGGGAGGTGCGGGTCACACACACCGTGACCCTTGCGTTGCGCAGCCTCGCAGAGGGCTCCTCGTTCGTCGACTTGGACGAGCGCGAGGGCCCCGAGTGCCACGCGCTTGCTGCGGGGCCACCCGCCGTCTCCCAGCTGCCCTGCTGCGACACGGCCGAGCCCTTCGAGATCCCCGAGCTGCCCTACGGGCGGCGCCTCGTCATCAACATCCGCTCCACGTGGGGCGACGGCCACTACGTGGGCCTCAACGGCCTGGAGGTGTTCACGAGCACGGGGGCGCCGGCCAAGGTGGCGCGCATATGGGCCGAGCCGGCCGACGTCAACGTGCTGCCGGGTTACGGCAACGATCCGCGGGTTGTCTCAAACCTCCTCGACAACGTGAGACATTTGTTCATTTAATTGCCGGTAAAATTTAAAATGCACTTCCCGTGAACACGCAAGCGCAGTGTTGTATGTAGTTGGCGAGGGTACAGGCAGTGCAACTGCACCGGGACCCGCCGGTTGGAGGGTCCTACGCGCCTCGCTATGAAGAAGAGAGAGGTTGAATAGGGTATCGCATTCATTCATTTCCGCACCTCCGATTGGCACGGTTAGCTATGTACGCTGCGAAAGATGTTCAACATATCCTGTACATTCATTTATCCAGCATCCACACTAAACACGCTACTCTGCTGCATTAAGCGAGTAGTATTTTGGTTATTTCTACAGGAGTCGCATTTAAATCGCATAATTCCACCATGGTAGATTTCAGGAAGGTCTTAATTTATTTCATAAAAATTGAGTATTCCCACGTTAAAATGTTAATATTGATGGTATTATAATAGGGTTGGTGTGCCATCTGGCGGTGATTGTTGGACTTGCCACGAGAATACTATTTGCATCAAGATGCAGAAATTGTGATTTAAATGAGTACGCGATGGATGACTTCAGCTGTCAAAGAATCATTCATTTCAGCGGCAATTCCTGCATCTCCATTCAATGTCTCATCGGTTGCATACGATGCATTCGTAGTATGGAAATGATGCGGACGTCAGATAGCTCAGTTCGTACGACCATATATTAAGTATTAAGTCCCCTCACAACAAGGAACCCGATACATGTGTTCACAGATAGGTGGTTTCCACCAATATTTGGTGTAAAAATAGCAAATAAAAATATATAATCGACCAATTGCCAATGTTTGCAATGAGAAGCTCAATGCGGATTCCCGTAGTGAGGTGGCCATCTTTTGTTTTACAGCTAGAGGTGAAAATTCCACATTCCCATGCCCAGGGGCAGCTATCCCTGTGGGTACAAAGTCACTCAGAACTTAGTCTGCTAATGGGCATTACTCTACCAGTAGGGGAGGGGGGGCGATGATGCCTTCGTGTAATTCTAGGTTGAGTAATTTGCGGGTAATATTTTGAATGTGACACATTTGGACCATGACGCCGGCACACATTGGCCTACTCGTTTCGAATGACGTCAGGGCATCTTTCACGTCGACTGCGAAGCAGACGCTGCATATTTAATTTTAAATACCGCGGTATTAACCAGGGCGGCTGTCGGGTTTGAACCACGAACCTCCGCAACAGGCGGCCGAACACACTACCGCCGGGCTGTGTGCACGTGCACGATTGTTTCTGTCACCGAGTTTGCCTTGCCTGACCCCGGTGCGGCGCAGGTGAACCGGTCGCGTGACGACGCTCACATGTGGCTGGCGCCATTCACGGTGGGTGGCGACCACCTGGTGACGCTGGAGCTGGCCGAGCCGTGCCACCTGGCCATGCTGCGCGTGTGGAACTACAACAAGTCGCGCGTGCACGTCTCGCGCGGGGCGAGACACCTGCACATCGCGCTCGATGGCCGCGAGGTCTTCCGGGGAGAGATCGCGCGCGCGTCCGGAACGCTGATGCGAGGTCAGTGGCGGAAGGGAGCGGTGGATCGTCGTCAGTAGTCAATGAAACGGTCTGCGAAACTCTTTTTGGCTAACGGTCAAAAATACAAGTATACTTGAGGGAAGTTGGGCTGAGTCAAGCCCTGCACAGGATTTTACCTCGCGATATTCCAAATGTGTCTCCTTCCCCCGCACCTCCGATTAGCACGTTTGGCTATGTACGGTGCAAAACAAGTTCAACATATATACAGTACCTAGCTAATTATTCTCATCATAATTTCATTCATGGTTATCCTTATCGTAATCACTATGTCATAAAAAAATATAATCATTGTTACATGATGGTGTTCATTATGATCGTCATGATCATCATCATATTAGAAGCAACAAAGGTTCCAGCATATGCAGCAGTCCAGGGCCACACACCCCAATGTGTGCAGTTCAAGACCGTGGTACATTTGTTGTGCGCGCATGTGTCCGTGCGTCTGTGCACATAAACTTTGTTGCCGCCCAGACCTGGAGCAGTTTGGCGACACCATCCTCTTCACAATGGACGACAGCATCCTGGAGGCGATGGCGGCTCACGACGTCACCTTCACAGCCGCGTCGCCCGATGCGAACGGCCCGGCCACCGGCGTGAGTGGCGAAGGTCCCGGCGAGGAGGCCGAGAGGCCCCGAACGGCGCACGTGGACAGCCCCGAGGACGTTCCCGACTCCCCCTGCGTGCCCAACCCCTCCGTCGAACGGCCCACGACCCGGGCTGGACGTGGGCCCAACACCGGCCAGGTCTGACGCTGCTCCAGCCGGAAAATGCATGCGCGGTGGTGTTGCGGCGATATATTTCGATCTCCCTCAAAGAGCTTTCACCTGGTTTCTGATTACAGGTTTTTGTGTTTTCGTTGTCGAGGCACCACATTGTGCAGTATTGATCCTACATTATTTATTTATTTATCTGCTCCTGAGAAGGAGTGTGGTCTTAAATGGGGTGTTCTGAATGTATTTGTGGGCATGGGCCACTTTGTACAATTACAGTTTGCATTTAACGTGTCTGTGAATGTGTCCACATCTCAAGGCGGGGTACAAATAGGGAGGACATGCATTTTGGGAGAAAAAAAATGGAGTTCTTTTCAAGGATAGAGGAGGTGACAGCAGAGGGTACGCAGACAACGATGAAGATTGTAATGAGATACTTCGTCGAGGGACATGCCTAATTTCTTGTGATGTGTTCTCATGTTTTTCTATTGCCCTAAACTAATTTGCCTTGTGCCCTATACAGAAGGCAGCCTCTGACGAGACATCTACTCGGCTTTGTGGACAATACGTGGGGAAATGTGAGTGCTGTACTCCAGCTGAGCTGTTGCCTCATAATTATTTGACAATTAAAAGTTGTCAGCCTACGGAGTTTAAACGTATTTGTCTCTGTGGCAGCCTTGACTCGTGATCAAAATATTTTGAGTTCATTAAATTAACCGAATCTAAATAAGGACAGCACCCATTGCTTTACTGCCATCTCCTGGCACCTAGCAGTCCTAACAACTATATTCCAACTGTTGTTATGCCCTGGCAGTCACGCATCAAGCACTAACGAGGCTCAGTCCTCCTTCGTGTCCGAGATCTGATGAGATGGGGCACATTCAGGGTGCTTTGGTTGTAAGCATATTTGCTTCTTTTTTGAAGATAATGATGTTGATAAATGTCTTCACGAGTCATAATTTTAATGTTCTGTACTCTGAATATTGAGTGAGAGAGCTGATGGGAAATCGACCACCTTGTGTAGTTTTTTTTTTAATGTTGATTGCCATTAAACCAGGGGTGGGGAACTTACAGCCCACAGGCAATATCCGGCCCGCAACTTCATTTCGTTCGGCACGCAGCCACACGAGGCTTACCACTTAAAAATTATATCACTGCAAGCATCTAAACCATACTAATCAGGCAATAGCGGGAAATATTTTCAACCTTACAACACCGTGTTTCCAACTGTAACGCATTCAATCAGAATTGGCGAAGGTGTCTTGTCATTGCGTAGCCCGCCAAAGGTATTTGAAAGTCCTATTGCAGCCCTAAACGATCCCTGAAGCGAGCTTTGTTTTCCACTGATTGTGTGACCATGGCGGCACAGGTCTGAAGCTGAGCTTCTCGGCAACGTGGGGCGACCCGCACTACCTGGGCCTCACGGGGCTGGAGGTGATGGGGCCGGACGGGGTGACTATCCCACTCCAGCTGGCCATGCTCGATGCCAAGCCGCGCGACCTCAACGACCTGCCCGAGTACACGGACGACAACCGCACCCTCGACAAGTGAGAGCGAACCCCCTCTGTTCCACCCCCCCCATCCTCTAGGGGGGGATGGCCATGCCCATCGCTGTCTGGAACTGCATTCAGTTTTTTGTCTGTGCTGCCAACTCTGTCACCCTGTATATATGTGTGTGTGTGTTTGTTTTGTTTACGTATACGTGCATATTTGTGTAACAATCTATTTTCACTCTTTACTTATACGCTGTCATACTTATATCCCTGGCCTTCACAAACCAGCAATGACCGGTGTGATGAAGCCCGGTCAAACAAACCCTACGACGAACACGGTATGGGGTTGCCTTCATCCAGCAGTGTACTTGACAAAGGGGCTGTCAATTCATGTATATCTGTGCGCGTGCGTTGATTTTGACGCGTGGCTGCGCGCAGGCTGATCGACGGCGTGAACGTGACGACCAGCGACGAGCACATGTGGCTTATCCCGTTCGCGGTGGGGGAGAGCCACACGCTGACCGTCACGCTGCCGATGACCCAGCCCCTCGCCGGCCTGCGGCTGTGGAACTACAACAAGTCGGCCGAGGACACGTACAGGGGGGTGGGTCTCCCTCTGCGTGCCCCGCGTCCTCAAACGCACACCCACACACAAGGCGTGCTGTGCCGGGGGTCGCTCGGACGACTCGCGACGGCCACGTCATAGACACCGAGCTGGCACGCTTGGGATCCCTTGTTTCAACACGGGCTTCGACCGCGCATGATTGAACCGAGTTGTCAAGTGTAGTTAGTCAGTGGTTTTAGTTAGGGCAACGGTAACTGCTCGAAGGGTGAAGTGGGTTTCCTCTCGCTACCTTGACATATCTTTACTGTTTACAAATCGGATCTTAGGCTGCACCCTCATTAAGATGCAGTGTATTGGAATTGTGTTTGGCGCTAATAAGCCATGGCACAGACAGACAAGTGGTGACTTTTCCCATCAACGCAATTTATACGTGTGATGTGTAACGTCTTTACACCGTCATCCCTCAAACTCTTAACATCTCAGCATGCATAACAGCACATGTTGTGCTGTGTTGTAAGCGCTGCGTGTACGATGTGCTGTTTTATAAATGCTGTGTGCTGTTCTGAGAACTGTCTGCTGCATGTTGTGTTCTGAGTGCTGCATCCAGTGTGCTTTTATGCATCATGTGTTCGGGGTGCTTTGTGCTGTGTTCGGAGTGTTGCTTGCTGTGAGATAACCGCTGTGTTCCAAGTGTCATGTGCTGCGTTAATTCCCATCTGATATTGTGTTCTGAGTACTGTGTGCTGTGTTGTGAGGACCATGTTGACGTGTTGTGAGTGCTGTCTTCCTTGTGATGCGTTGCGCTTTGCGATACATGTTGTGCATTGTGCTGCGTATTGTTTTGAGTATTATATATGCTGTATCCTGCATGCTGTGTATCATTTTGTTCGTGCTGTGTGTAACGTACTGTATTCCGAATACTGCTTTCTATATTTTGCGTCTTGTGCGCGCACCGCATACATTGTACTGTGCATTGCGTACTGCGTGCGGCATCCTGCTTGTTGCGTGCCGTGTGTTTTTGTGCTGCGTATTGCTCGTACAAAACCTTCCACCGACGTTTGAAACAGCTGCTCCCTGCTTGGTGTGTCGCCAGGCCAAGACTGTACACGTGACCGTGGATGGGAAGGCAGTGTCTCCTCCGGAAGGCTTTCTCGTTCGCAAAGGGCCTGGGAACTGCCATTTTGACTTCATGCAAGAGGTCCTGTTTGCTGATGTGGCTCGCAGGCATGGGGACGGCAAGTCAGGGGTGCTCAAGTGAGTAGACCTATGAAGCTGTGCAACTCGCCGTTCACATAGTGAGACTGACAATGCACTGATGTCTACCATAGTCAAAAATACATGTATACACTGCTGTTTGAGGTAAATTAATCACCACAATATAGGCCATATAGCAATGTTTGATTCATTGATTGAACCTGATTCTTACACTTATGATGCATGCATCATGTGTGTGAGAATTGCTTTTGATTTATAAAACATTACTCCATGCTACTCGTCAGAATGAACCAGATCGAGCAAATCTGACAGAACAAGATAGTACACATTACCAGCTAGGAAGCACAAACAAGACTGACAATACACAGACGTTAGCCATCGCTAGCAATCAAACCCAAGTCATCTGTGTTCATTCTACATCGCACTCACCACTGCGTCACTGATAGTGATGACAATACATTTGTGATATTCCACAGGAACAGACACAAAGATCAACGGGCTGCTGTTATGGAGAGAGCAAGCATGGACTATGAGGCCCCGCTGATGCCCTGTGGCTGTATCCTTTTTGGCTGTAGTGGGGGGCGGGGGGGGGCATGGGGGGAGGGGGGAATCTGGCGGGCACGGGGGGGTAGCACTAACACAACCCTGAATCTTACAATTTAAAATTAAACGTCTTTGTCGGGTCCTAGTAGGTTTAATGCATCACATTGCTACTTAAAACTGGGCAAACATATACAACCACATTTTTGGATATATAATGGCCAAATATTCAGAGCTGAGCAATGTACCATTTTTTTAAGTACACCATCATGCAAATTTGAGAACACAGCACTTGTTCAGGACTTTCGTGAAAAATAATGAGGCTCATAAAAGCTATCCTGGATACACAAAGGACACCTATTTACTTTATTTCTTACAACTGATTTCCGTAATCTCTGTTTACATGCAGCTGTCAAAAATTGATCTTTAGTCAGCCACCGCATTTTGTATATGCATTTTGCCAAAGTTCTGCCTTCCTTGACGGCGCTTTCCAGTTCTCTTTCAGTTCCAGCTGCTGTCAAGCTGGGGCGACCCCTACTACATCGGCCTCAACAGCCTCCAATTCTACAATGAGGAGGGCGACCCGATCGCCCTGACACCCAAGAGTATCCGTTCATAAGCCGACCAAATCACGACATGCGTGCCCGGGTTTGTCTGTGCAACGTGCTCCGGAGCACACCGCCTTGTATACTGTGTACACCGTGCTCTGTATTCTGTCCCGAGTGCTGCACATTGCGTGTTGTGCACTGTATGCCGTGTGCTGTGTATTGCGTGCTCTGTGGTGCACCCTCTGTGCTGTGTTCTGTCCTCTGTGCTGCATTGTGTACTGTACTGTGCTCAGTGATGTGTGTTCTGTGCTGTGTACTGCGTGCTGAATGCTGTTATTGTTCTGTGTGTACTGTATGCTGTGCTACGTGTCGTGTGCGTTATGTGTTCTGTGCTCTGCTGCCTAAACCTCGTAATATAGAACGCTGCATTGAAGCGCTTGGCCCCTTGACTCACGTACGCGGCAAGACATCGCGGCGTATCCCGACAGTGTGAACGTGTTGGACAGAGTGAGTGGGGATGTGCGCACGCCAGACAAGCTGGTGGACGGCGTGACGGATGGCGGCGATGGCCGGCAAGCGTGGCTAGCTCCTGTGCTTCCCGGCCTGGTAACAAGAGCAACGCCGCACGCACGCACGCATGCCATGCTCCACCACGCTCTTCCCCTCTCTAAACGAACGAAACTAAACTTTCAATTTTACCACATAAGGCCCACTGAGCTACATACCTCTTTTTCAAAAACGACCTGGCCACAAATAATGTGGAAATTTATAGAAGCCAGAATACTCTAAAAGCATGTTTCCAAATATGGAGGGGAAAACAGGGGGATCCGGAGAAAATTGACACAACCACGGGGAGAACATGGAAACTCCGAATATGCAGGTGTCAGGGATGGGATTGAACCCACAACCTCCTGTATACCAGGTGAGGTAGTTAACATTTCAACTACCGTGGCTCCCACACGTAATACAAAAATGGCTCTGAATGAAAATTTCTCAATATTAAATTGAGTGATGCAAAGAACAGCAACGTTTTTTCCACCAGGTGTGGTGGTGCACACCTGTAATGCATTGCATTTGAGTTGAGATTAGTGGATAGAGCAGATATGAGTGTCTTTTGAGAATTCCACCCTTATACGCTATGGAGGTGGTAAGGAGATGGCAGGACAGCAAGTGGGTGAAAGGTCATGTTTGTAAAGTTTTTAATCCCACCTGTGTTTTCTTTAGATGCTTTGGTTTCCTGAGATGTGAACACTCCCTTCTTAAAACGGTTTGACCCAATATCTAAATTCAGGATTCCGACAATGAGTTTTGGGACTCGGCGAGGCTTTGTGGGATAAGAAAGTCCTTATTTATAACCAGGAAAGGGCATATTTAGAATGAACATCACTTTTTCATTGGACTTGGGTTAAGGAAAATATAGTAAAGGACTGTTTCTAAACAACAAAGACAATTACCACAAATTGTGTGCCTGTCACGGTCTTAATTGTAAAATCTCACACTTGAGCATTGCATCTCTTCCCCCTCATCCAGGCATTAGACTGCCATAGGTGTTTTTTTCTCAGGAAAATGGTGCCACATGTAAAAATGCTGGAAAGGAAATGTGTACGAAACATTCAATCCAATACTTGAGAATTGGTGACGCTTTACAAGTAAATAAACTATTACAATTAAACTAAACATTAATTATCTTTTTCATTAACAAAAAATTACACCATTGGAACCTCCTTTGCCAGTAGCAAATATTGTTTTTTTACACTTTTATATGGCAACAAAACTAACACCTTTTTTCATTATCAACTAAAATTTAGTTTTGTATTTTTGGTAAATGGGCCTTATGCTGACCCAATACTTAAAATCAAAATTTCAATGAGGCAAATGCTGAATTGGTCTTAGTTTCTACAAAATTTATCAGCAAACGGTGGTCAGTTAAAATGGAAGTTTTAATATTTTAAATGGTTTCTGAGCACAGGCCCAAAACTTCAAGCAGCCAGCAACTGACATGAATATTAAAGTTGCTGGGGTTTTCAATTACATAAATGTCTAAGCTGTTCATTTCTTTGGTGCCGATAATGATTGTGTATTTTCAGTAATTGATTTTTTTCAATGTTCCTGAATATGTGGCTTGTGCGGCAGGTCAACCGTGTGTACGTGATGTTCGACTGCCCTACGACCGTCTCAATGATTAAGTTGTGGAACTACAGCAAGACGCCACAGAGGGGCGTTAAGGAGTTTGGGGTAAGAACGCGCCCCTGCCGAACGCGGTGTTATAGCACCGAGCCGTCACTGCCGAGAACCTGGCTTTGAATTCAGGATTCAGCTGCCCGTGATAAAACTGCGTTTTCAAGTATAGTGAGGCCGCGATGGTGGCGAAATGTTAACTCCCTTGCCTGGTATGCATAGAGGTCGTGGATTCGATCCCGACCCTGATGTATGTGTTTTTAAGTTTGCATGTTCTCCCTGTGGTCTTGTGGATTTTTCTCGGGGCCCTCCAGTTTTTCCCTCCACATTTAGAAACATGTATTTAGAGTATATGGCTGCTATAAACTTCCATGTGATAATCCACTCGAGCTATCATGTGGCCAGGTCGCTTCTGAAAAAGAGCTGCATAGAGCTCTACCTGGTGAAATAAAAAATATGTAGTTTGAGTTTACGGTCTCAGCCTGGTTATCAATGACTGCCAATATGGTTACGAGACACATTGTTATGGTGTGTGGTGATATTCCACATTGTAATTGTCCTTGCTGCAGCTGCTCGTGGATGACCTGCTCGTGTACAACGGCGTGCTGGACGCCGTGAGCCAGGCAGCGCGTGGAATCCTGCCCACCTGCACCGGCCCCACGCCGTACCACACCATCCTCTTCACGGACAGCGCAGACGTCCTGCGACGGGAGCGACACACCGTGCTGCGGTATGATGCTCACCTCTCCTCGACAGATCTTTTACTCCAGTATTCATGGCTCCAATTGACTCCTTGGATTATCAATCTTTCCATCAACCAAGATTCTCCCAGAACATCAGTTACTCATTCTTAAATGTTGGGAGCCTCAGAGGTAGTTCTGTAACATCACCTTCCTTGGGACAATCTCAACCACCGTGCGATGCATTGCTCTGCGAGGGTCGTGAATTCCAAATGTTTCATCGTATGACATAACAAAGATAGTACAATTTGAACAAAAAATGATTTGCAAATATAAAAACCACAAGGTCAGTATTAGTCACACAGTTGAGGTGTGGTAGCTTAGCTGGCAACTGTGGTTGTGTGCGTCTCGGAGTAATTAGTGGTTTTGGGACCCCACCCAGGAACCGTGCGGAAGAGCAAGAGGTAAGCCTCCTCAACGACAACCGCATCCTGCAGAGCAGCAAGAAGACGTCGTCGGTGGATCAGGGTGAGTGTTTTGGCAACGTGGCTCTCTGACAAAGAACTGGCGAGATAGACCCTGATACTTGCCAAGTCACTCTAACATCAAAATAATATTCGTGATGCATAGATTTTCATTAGGCTGTTAAATAGAGGTCAAGCCATTGTCCTTGTCAGAATTGCACACAGGCTCAGGAGAGAAGCTGTGGTCTGTAAGCGTTTTGACTTTTCAAGTTATGCATTAACAGCTAACTGGAGGGGTGTGTGTTGTGTATTCTCACAGCTCTCCGCCCCAAGACTTGCCTCATCGAGAGGAAGGTGGCGGGGAGGAAGCAGAGATGACTTGTCACGTCCGTTGCAATGTTTTCACCGCATGGCACAACTTCTAATAAATTACACACATCCAGCGGTGTGGAGTATCACAAACACCCACGCCCTCGTGCCACATCATGCATGTATTTGTGTTTACCAACAAGCACAGCGTGCATAGTGTAAGAACTTGTGACCAGATTCACACCTTTATGAAACAGCGGAAACGCATCCCTTTGGTGATTTTCGCAGCCGCTATGTGTTAGATATATTGGCATGTTTTCCAGTAATTGGACAAGAATATAATTTAATCAGGCCGTTAGTATGCACACGGATGGCGACTATTGCCGTGCGTGATACCTCAGAATGTGAGGACTGGGCTTTGAAAAACCTCGGTTTAAGTGCATTGAAACCTGCCAAATTGAACAGATGGCTCATTACTCTCAACCATGTTTTTTTGTTTTGTTCGCAGAACTCTAGATTAGGGAGTAGTTTAAAGTTGAATTCTCAAACTTGATTTGCTTTTTGCAAAGTGTAGAATGGGAGAGAATTGTGCACGTGGTCTTGATTGTATTGTACCAGCTTTGTACAATCTAAAACGAGCTGCGGATTGCACTAATCCTGCTGTAAATATGTCTTGTAAATAAAAGCATCTCGCACATATTTGTGCTGTAGCTCGGACTGATTTTAATTTCAAAGCACTTGCGTATGCATTTTTAGTTTTCATCAAAATAAAACAAACTTGGTTTTAAAGTTGTTGTTTTTTACATTTGAGCCAAATTTTATATGGCATACATTACATTACCCTATTCATTTAAAAAAAAAGTCTTAAATAATTTTGTATGCAATCATTTTGCAATTCAACATTTAATACAATTTACATTAGAATGTTTAGGTTTTTTTTTATATACAAAATTTATTTTACTTCCAGTTTCTTTGCACTGTATTGCAAAGTTACCATAGAAGACACCAACATCGCCCTCAAGGGTATGCCAATGCATACGAGTATCACAGTTGAAACCACAATTATTGAATTTACTCGCAAAAAGCAGACATTCAAATTTAAGACATTCTATTGGTTCGTAATGGATATGAGTTAGTACCGCCTATTGTGCTACCAACTGCCAATTCACTCTCATAGGCCATCAAGAATTAGTACCACCTAGTTTTGCAACCTTCAGTTCTGCTCTGACCCATAGATTAACTATATGTCCCCGTGTAAGAGAAATCGCAATGCTTTCTCCGTCGGTTAAATAAAGGACATCAGCCAATAAAACACCAAACAATCTCAACACATGCATGCATGTATTACCAGTCGATGCTGACGCTTCAATTTCCACACCAAAGGTTGAAGTCATTCAAAAAATGCATCCTCACGCAATTTTTACAAAACAGTTCGTAGAGAAATGTCTCGGTACTAAAAACAATATTAACAACAGAAATGTATTGCCTCCATACAGTGATAGACTACTGGTGTGTATATATACAGGTGTTGAGTCTGGCAAGTGTGGTTTTAATCCAACACGGACCTGCAATAATTTAATTCCGGTGCTTGATTCCAATCTGGACTGCTGTTGCACAAAACAAACACTAACACAATAATTAATACCAACTATAACCCTACCCTGCCTGTAACACTAACCCTCCACCCCAAACACTTAATATCTTTAACACGAACCCCCAACTCTAAAACAGCTACTATTCTAACCCAGTAAACCATCACCCGCATCCATAATACAAAATGTATTCATAGCTCCATCCCAAACCTGCAATTGTTGACCACAGGCATGTCCTCCCCCCTGTGTGTTCCAATGATTCATTAAGCATGTATATGTGAAACAGTGCACAGGTATGGCCATGAGGAACAGCATTTGCTACGAATGCTTTTCATTGTATAATAGCTGCCTCAAAACGGATACCCATAATTAATTTCTCTTTTAAAAAAACAATATTCATTACTATAAAAAAAACACAAGCCCAATCACATGCGTCCGAAAACGCGCATCCCGAAACAAATCTTTCTGTTTCGGCCTTTACGGAGGCCGCTGGGGGTCCATGGGTCACATGCAGTAGTCTGCCATCGATTTCTGTCATACACCAACTGTTGGTTGGTATTGCGTTCATGTCATTCCTCCTTTCCAATGCTTCCAGAACACCTTCAACCCAAAAAGAGAATGCTGTGTACGAAATCTAACAATAGGCTTATCTGTGCTACGATTTCTCACCCGTGGCACTGCCGCATGTTTCCATAATTCGTACAAGAAAAATGGTTGGCTTCTGCTTTTGCTAACGGCCGCTGCTCCTCTTCGGAATGGCCGTGTCTCCCACTCATTAGGTGTGGTTGATGGCACCAGCGTTCTCCGTTGCCGACGATCCTTGTTGGTGTTTATTGTAGACATTTGCCAAGTGCTCACTGTCTTTGCTACGATTCAATCGTATCGAGGTGTAGCCATGAAGCTTGGAAGACATGTGGAGGCATGACAATGTCATCACACCGACAGGATGATGTCATCACAGCGACAGGATGGCACCCCTGGGACGATAGCATCGTATTTCTATACTCTGCATGTGGAAATGTGAGCAGCGGGGTCCACGTGTACAAGACTTGTTTAGCAATCTCCCTTTTGTTTTTGTATTAACAATGACAAAAGGGGGGTGGCTATAGTAACAGCCTCCGAGGGTAGACAAATACAATGACTCACCACCAAAGTGGATCACAGCCTGCAAAACTAAAGATGTATCTTTCAGAAAGACGATTGTTATTTTAACTTCTCTACCATTGCAAGTCAATAGCTGTAGTCATCATTAAGTTTAGCATTTTTTTCGTAGGCTTCGGGGAGACGTCGTTTTCCAGCCCCCCGGCCGTCCTGCCGCTTCATCACCACAATCAAGCAGTGTCAGTTTTTGTTGTCGCTCTCCCCCGGCCGTTAAGTCATCTGCTGCCCTCCCCGTCCGGCGCAAAACGGCACGGCCGCGTGGTGGCTCGAGGACACGGGCGGCCACGTCTGCCGTGGTGGGGCTGCCACCACAGGCACCTGCGATGTCGTCGGAGATGCCGCCCAGTGCTGGGCTCCTCCCGGGGTGGGCGACGCAACCTCAGCGCCACCGCTGTCCGACGCCTGGAGGCGCGAGAACATCGTGAGCGCCTCCGGGAAGTTGGGCGGTGTCGCCGGCGTGTTTGACGGCGCGCACACCTGCGCGGGCAAACAAAGACACGCGCGCGAGGATTTTTCAATCGGTCATGGCGAACAACGACGACAGCTGCCATGCGCCACTAAGTGGCGGTAATGTCACCACGGTACATTTGCCAGGTTAGGTACACCTGAAGACCACGTAACGTATCGGATGGCTCGCTGGCAGGAGGTCATGGGATGTATCCAGATGTTGTGGGTTAACTTACCGAGCTGACTCAAATGACCCCGGAATCAGAATGTATTTATAATGGAGGAATCCGATGAGCTATAAAGTTCTCTTTCACAGATATCAAGTAGGGGCGTGTCAGAATTGAACAAGATAATAATACACAAACACGATAGGAATGCAAAGTATAGGAAAGGTAAACAAATAACTTACAAATAAAACTGAACTTTTTTATTTTACCAGGTAAAGCTCACTCAGGTGTTAACCTATTTTTCAGAAGCGACCTGGCCACAAATGACAGTTCAACAATGTGGCTTATGATTTTGAAATGTATAGCATAAAAATTATCTAAATGGTCATGGTGCACATACACATGCATGCCGCCCCCCTCCCTATTTAGCCTAAAGGCCAGGATACGATAATTATTGTTGCAGGCTGGTTTCAGCAGTAATGGTGGCCGCAGTTTTCTATTGCACAAAAATATATATACCGGTAGTTGCCCAATTGTGGACAACTCTGACCACTGCTGCCCCTATTGGACAACTGAAATGTCAACTTCCAATCACATTTTTAATTGGTCACTTAACTCAGGATTATTTATGCACTTCGAAGACCGCTAGTCATCAGATGCGTTTTAATAAACTCTGTTTTCATTGGCCAGACGGTATTTCGTAACTTTTTGATAGTTCTATGCCAAGTTGCTCAAAATATATCTGTTGAAGGCCAAAGTACCACACCCGTTGGGTGTTTGTTTCCCCAAAGCTAATATTCACACATCCTGCACCATGTACTCATTTTCGATTGAGTTGACCTGGGGGAAGTGCAGGAAATGTTTGTATCCCGTGTGCTACTGCTATTGTGCATGCTCAGAAATTGAAAACCACTGCACGACTTCTCCCACACACACACGGATACAGTGGTGGGGTGTGAGGAGTCGAGTTTGGAAAAGCCTGGACTGTGGGTGTGGGGCTAAAGGTGATGTCTTTCAATCTTGGCGTCTGTGAGTGGCTCACGCATTTATAAATAGCCCTGGCTGCACAAGTGCATGTTATGGCCACACGCTCATGGTATGCGCGACGTAGCCCGTCTCCGCAACCCCCTCAACACGGTGTTATTTATCGCTTTCGAAAGGTTTCTGTATTTTTAGCGAGGACATGTTCGTTATTTTCCAGCCAACCATTCAAGCAACTTCGGTGATATAATTGCGCAAGCGTTGCTCTCTTCGTAGGCATTTGCATAATTCACCAGCAAAGGCTAGTTCGTGAATACAATGAAAACTTACCCTTTCAGGGTTACGCAACGCTGAAACCACGGGTGTTGGTGGCAAAAAATGAGCATCAACTGGGACGATGAAAACATTAACTGGAGGCTCCGTGAGGTGGGAAGAGAGTTCCATTGACCAGTTGCGGTGTGTCCATGAAGACACTGCTGTCTGACCTTTGGATTGACCACAGCAGGTTCTGGTGATGCAGTTAAGGTAAAATAAATAAGTATATTTTTATCTCCACCATCCAGACTCTTGGCATCTCAAAGTAGTGACAGTTGATCGTGCTAATAATAAGAGTTATAAATGTGATGTAGGTCGCAATGTCTTGCTTATTCTCACTGGTGTCAACACCCTACAGCAAAGTTTGCCAAGATCTTACAAACCTATTGTTAAAATGTTTCTGAAAAATATATATTTTTACCCTGTTCGTAAATTGCAAATTGTCTGTAAATTTTAGTAAGACTAAACTAATATTATAAAAAATGTACGCTCTGGCTTACAGTCTGTTTGAATCAGAAAGGTCATGAAACCGATTATGTTTGGGGGGTTGTAGCTTCTCCATTCCCTTACACGAACCCTGAAGGAAGTGCTTGGTGACATCACCAACGCCTCCATCGTCACAGTACACGCCTTTAAACTGAGTTTGTAAAAGTGTTCTGTCAGTAAAAGGAAGCCATACCTAAATTTCGATTTAAAGCGATCTTGCTGTGACTATCCCACCTGAAGACGGAAGCTTGTGTTGCCTCCGAAACGTCGTGATAATTTTTATTTTCTTATTTTATTATTATTTTATCCCCATTCTACGTGACTTTACCGAAAGAACCAAGAAGATGAAGCCATACCTGATCTGTGTATGAATTAAAAAAAACACAAGGCACACACGGTCAGTAAAACTGCTGTCACGACTGTGGGTTTTTGTATTGTACTGCAAGTACCATGGCGTGGTGATGGTGGTGGCTTGTGGCCTCTTGAAAGAAGATGCTCAGAGCTGCCTGGAAGGGGGAAGAAAGCCACACAACGTTTTGGTACAAGCTC